GGTAAGGGCCGACCCCATGGCGCACTCGGGAGAGTGTGGCACTGGGAGCACAGCGACGCTCCCGCTGCGGGTTTGGATCCTATATAGGACTGGCCGGTTCCCGCTCACTGGCTGAGCGAGGTGCGGGCGCAGCGCCGAGGGTTGCGATCCTGTTGCCGGTCCCGGTCCGGTACGGGCGCGACATTGAGGGTTGCGATCCGTTGCCGGACACGAAAAAAAGACAAAAAGGAAAAAAATAAAAATAAAAAATAAAATAAATAAAAGGTAAGGGCCGACCCCATGGCGCACTCGGGAGAGTGTGGCACTGGGAGCACAGCGACGCTCCCGCTGCGGGTTTGGATCCTATATAGGACTGGCCGGTGCGCTCACTGGCTGAGCGCGGTGTGGGCAGCGCCACACAAAGGGTTGTGATCCCCTTACCGGTCACGAAAAGGACAAAAAAAAAAAAAAAAGGTAAAATTTGTCTAAATTAGACAACTATTTACCCACCCACTCCCACTGAGCAGCTGACAAGTGCACAGTAAGCAATACCCAAGTTAAAAAGCATTTCTCCCTTTCCCAAGTGGTTTTAACGTAAGCATTTTTAAACCTCTAGAAGAGGCAGAATTAAGCGTTTAAAACAAAGTGTTCAAAAATTTTAAAGTGTTGCTTTATTTTATGTCACTTATTAAGCCTATCACTTATTAACCTTACACTGCAGAAGAGAGCTAGGTAACGTCAGTAGTACTACAGACATGCCATTTTCAGCAATGTAATTTATGTTAAAATGTAACTTATATCCCCGATTATATCAGACAGTTTTTTACCCTGTATTTGTATTTCCTTTAAAAACACAAAACAAACACAAATGGACAAAAAGGACGTTATCCAAAAAGGAATCACATAAGGAACTGTGAAGGTAACAAATTAAAGGCTATTAATCAAATAAAGAGTTGGAAGAGATTGTGTTTCTTTTCAGACAGTTTAAATATTGGTTCTTTTCTTGTACTCAAGAAAGGGTTGTTTCTATTTGTTGATTTGTTTCATTTTCCCCCTCCCAGCTGAGGGTCAAACATTATCAGAAAGCTAGGTTAAATGGTATATTAAATATGCTTACAGAGGTAAGTTACAACAGAAAATCCATATCTATATCAAAACTTGAAGCACAGACTGAGAGAAGTACTTAGAACTTAAATAGCTGTATCTAGACAATGTTACACATGCTTGCTTATAAGAAGAAACACCCTAACTTATGAAGTCACATATCTCATTTGGGTTAAAAATCACAGCACCTACCCTAAAACCAAAGATTCAACTCAATTAAAGGCCAGGAAAGATTAATAATCATTTTCTTGGGTGCTGCCCTTTCCTTTTGTTTATCTGTGCCCATAGTCTGTTTAAATAGAGTCCAAAATGCTGACTAAGCTAATTTGTAAAGCAATAAATGCTATGTTTTGGCCACACACTAACCACCTAAACAGCAATACACGTTAGACTATGGTACAAGACACTCATTAATGGAAGCCCAAATTATTCTAACTACTGGAAGCAAATTTTACTTAGATTTAAGGTTTATTATTATTTATGAAGGAATCAAATTCCAAAATACCCACTGTTAAGAGTTTATTACAGTACTTCTCCTCCCTAATTAAAATTTTAAGATACCTACAAAGCAAGACCTCCGTGTTACCTGAGAGCCTGTTCGTAACAGAATTTCCTTACTGATATGATCTATTTAATTTGGTAAAAAAGGTACAGGTAACTAAAAAAACTATGTCTACATAGAATCAGGCTGTTTTTATAAAACAATCCTGCAAATATTATTTCATTAACAGCTTTACAGCATGGTAGTAGTATCTGCTAACTTTATAAGACTCAACCAAACGTAAAGGATAAAGATAGCTAAATGTACATACAGGCTTTTTCCTAAGTTTTCAACTCTGGGAATATTTCTATCCTCATTTTACTGGAGACTTAAGCAACTTTCAGACTATCAATTTAGAAGGCCTTCTCTCACTCAGTTTTCTAAAGCTATAATGTACTCCTAGATTGGAACACTGAGGGGCCTTTCATCCACTGTCTGTGTTTATCCTCATTTTACTGGAGACTTAAGCAACTTTCAGACTATCAATTTAGAAGGCCTTCTCTCGCTCAGTTTTCTAAAGCTATAATGTACTCCTAGATTGGAACACTGAGGGGCCTTTCATCCACTGTCTGTGTTGACTATGGTATTCAAATGGCGCTCCCAGGGCCGTGTAGCAGTAGGTTTGCAAAATGCACAGCAAGTTCTTTTCCAGGCTATAAAAGCACGAGGAAGACCAACTCTATCTAAACAAAGAGTCACTTATTCAAACCTAGTTCACATACTTACCTCCCATGATGAATTGGCAAGTGTTTGCGATGGATTCCATGACTTCCTTCCACAAAAGCATTGGGAGGCTTATGGTACACAGAGGCCAAAGAACCAATGTGGCAGATTAGCTCATCCAGCAGAGTTGGCTCAATAAGATCTGTCTCCTCAGAGATCAGTGGCTTTTCGGACAAGACTACTTCTTTGGCTGTGACAGGGTCGGTTGAGAGAAGGCGCCAATAAATATAGCCCCGGTCTCGAAGGTCAGGATTATCAGAATCCTAATGAAAAGGCAAGAAGGTTTAGATGGAACTATTTCCATATAGAAACCCAAACTGCTGGACTTATTACCAAGGCAATAGTGTACTGATTTATGCAGATTGGCTATTAAGAAGATATTTCATTTAGACTCAATATAGTTTTGATACAGTCATAATTCTGTAATCTCTAATGTTTCAAGGAATTTAGATATAAATTGAGATAAGTTAGTCCTAAAAGTCAAATTCAAAGGGAAGTTGGAAAAAGGAAAATAAAGTTTAATCTGATAAAAGTTAACTGGTTGGGAGGGCCTTGGGACATAAAAATAATGTTTTCCTAACTGCTATAAATATTAGCAGAATTACTCATAACATATACTTTATCTTACATGTATTTCACCCATACCTTCTTTCTTCATTGAAATATTTATTAAATGTCTCCTATAGAGACACTGTCTAGGCCCTGGAAATAAAGAGATAAGAAGAACACGGAGAGATTGACTTTAAGGAGCTCAAAGAATATTAATTATTACAATATAGTATGAGAGGTACCATTATCTAATAATCAAAACTGTTAAAGACAGCACATAACTAAGTGCTTCCAGAAGGGGTGACTTTGAATTCAGTGGTCTTATTTTTTGTTGTGGTGGTTTTAAAATAATTTTATATTATTATTATTATTATACATTATCAAAGCTAAAAAAAAATTATTGCCACCACCACAACACAATTTAGAAGTGTGTAATATAAAAATAAATCTCTCCCAATTATCCAACTCCACCTCAAGCCTTCACCCCTAAAGTAGCCAGGATTAGCAGTGTAGTATGTATCTGTTCATACAGCTCCCCCCCACCTATTTATTTTCATATTTACTTTATACGTAACCAGTTTCATTATATATATACTGTTCTGAAGTTGCTTTCTATATTGACACATACCGCTGCAGTTTTCCACTGTATGCACCACTGCACCATTATTTCCTAGTCCCCTTTTGATGGACATTTAGATTGTTGCCTCTTTTTTCCTGCTTTCCTACCTTTTATTTATTGTTTTTGTGACCATTACAAAATGGCAACAAATATCCTGGTTTCTACCTCTTAGAGTATGTCTATATGGCAGTATTTATTTATGTACAAGTTGTTCCAACAACATCATGTTATTAAAGGCAACAATAAGTCCCCGTTTCAATTTTTGAACTTAAAACTCATACATACACAAAAAATATTTCCCTTAAAATAGGCCAGTTTGAGGGCTTCCAAGTTTCTAAGTGAGCAGATGAATTGGTTCATGATTTAGCCACTTAAGGCACTTAGCATTCAGTTCAATATCAGCAATCATTCTGATGGTTTTTGACTACATAGTTTTTTTTTTTTCTTTTTTTTTTTTTTAATTTTTATTTTGTCAATATACAATGTATATGATTATTATGGCCCTTCCCCGACCCCTCCCGCCCTCCCCCCTTTCCCCCCCCCCCCCCCC